GCGCCCGAATCTTCGCAATAAAGTCGCCGTCGGGCTCGCCAGAGCCGCCCAACTCCTCGTTCTCCTCCTCCTCCTCCTCGTCCTCGTCGTCGTCAGCGTCCTGGGGAGGTACCAAATTGTCGCCGCCGGAGACGACTCGACGCCCGCTGAGATCGCCTCAGATCGGAGATTAAGTCTGACATGTCGCACGTTGCTCCTTTGACGCCGACACGTGACTCGCCCGTGCTGCGTGCAGTAGAGAGCGAGAGACCCGGTATCGCACAATGGTCAATGGACAATGCGATAATGACAATGCAATAATGATACAAAAATTTGTCCGTACTAGGTTGTGAGATAAAATACACCGGAGAACACGATCGAGACGCGAGATACTTTGTATCCGCTGCGCGCCCCGTGCTCTATAGCTTCTATATGCCCTACCCCTAGCATGGCCGTGGGGGCACGCGCTGCGGCCGATGGCCCGCTGCGCGCTGGGGGGGCGGCCCCCGCGCGCCGGTTCATAGAGCGTTCGCGAGCCGCGCCGACCCAAGAACACGGAAGAGTGGTACACAAACTCGGGCCGGATGTTGGGCAACGGAGAGCGGCGTATGCATGGCGGGCGTGGGCGTGGCAAGACAAACCTGACTTGGAACCTGTCGTTCCCCGGTCCTGCCCCCCGTGGCCCGCCCGAGCCCCTCAGATGCCGATGCAGCCCTCGTTGTGCGGATACAGCGGGAGGACGGCGTACATGATGCCCATGTACAGGAAGTACGCGAGGGGGAAGAAGACGCGCATCACCTCGTCGAGCCGGGCGCAGTCGAACAGACGCCGCTGGACGCAGGAGGGGAGCGAGACCTGGGACGCGGATTTGTCCGACGTTTCTTGCCCCCCTACCGTGGAATACGGAGCAAGGTAACGTGGGGGGGACTGGAATTCCCCCCTATGCTCACTAGGCTCGTATTCCACGGGACGGCGCCCAAGAACGTCGCGCCCATCCTCGCCTCCGGGCTCGACCCGGCCCTGCGGCGCGGGCAGGCGCTTTGCACGCCCCCACCCTCCCCGCCGCGGGGCGCCTGCTGCATGCAAGAGGAGGGGAGATGCGGCCTGCATGCAAGAGGAGGAGAGATGCGGAGCGTCAAGCCAAGAGGAGAGGTGCGGAGCGTCAAGCCAAGAGGAGAGGTGCGGAGCGTCAAGCCAAGAGGAGAGGTGCGGAGCGTCAAGCCAAGAGGAGAGGTGCGGAGCGTCAAGCCAAGAGGAGAGGTGCGGAGCGTCAAGCCAAGAGGAGAGGTGCGGAGCGTCAAGCCAAGAGTGGAGAGTGACGTTGCCTCCCCCCGGCCTGACCAGGCCTTTGGCCCGGGCGAGTACTTCGCGTCTCTCGCGCACCTCTCGCTGCCCTACTGCCGCGGCGGCTGTACCATGCTCGTCTTTGCGGCACAGCTCCTGTAGTTAATTAGTAGTTAATTAGCAGTTAATTAGCAGTTAATTAGCAGTTCGACCATGCTCGTCTTTGCGGCGCAGCTCGACCGCTCGATGCACAGAGAGTGCGACGTGCCCAACCAGTCGACCGTGCACTCCTCTCACTCTAGGTGCATCTCCCCAGATCTCCCCCCATCCCCCATCTCCGCCTCCATCTCCGCCTCCATCTCCGCCTCCATCTCCGCCTCCATCTCCGCCTCCATCTCCCCCTCCATCTCCCCCCATCTCTCCCCGTCTCTCCCCATATCTCCCCCCAGGTGCTGCTCGACCCTGCCAAGCCGCAGCCGCCACACGCGGTGCGCCGCCGCGCCGCCGCCGCCAGACGGGGAGATATGGGGAGATATGGGGAGATATGGGGAGATATGCGCCGCCGCCCGACGGGGGGCGGGCTCCCCTCCCCATGACCGGGAGCTCTGCAAGCTGTCTTGGGTGGTAAGAGGAGAGGGGCAGAGGGAGTCGGAGGGAGGGGTATGGTGTGGAGGAAGTTGGATGGACAGGGTAGGGGGGTGGCGGGAGGTGGAGGGAGGTGGTGGGAGGTGGTGGGAGGTGTAGGGAGGTGTAGGGCGCTAGCATGATCCTGTCTCTCGGAGGCTGCTCGCAGGAGCGGCACAGCTACGTCGTGGTGGAGGAGAACGAGTGGCAGCTCCCCCTCGCGGCGATGACCTTTGCGACGCCGGGGGCGGAGGTGCAGGAGGCGGCCGAGGCGGCGCGGCGGGCGCAAAGCATCGCGCAGCACGCGGAGGCCTGAGACATGGGGAGAGATGGGGAGACATGGGGAGAGATGGGGAGAGATGGGGAGAGATGGGGAGAGATGGGGAGAGATGGGGAGAGATGGGGAGAGATGGGGAGAGATGGGGAGAGATGGGGAGAGATGGGGAGAGATGGGGAGAGATGGGGAGGTATGGGGAGATATGCGGAGATCACGCCCGCCTGCGTCACCCTCACACGCCGAGGGCCGTCCTTCGCCTGCAGGTGAATGCGCCAACCTCAGGGCGGACAGACGGCCTCGTGGAGATATGGGGAGATATGGGGAGATATGGGGAGACAGACGGCCTCGGTGCCGTGCCCTATTACACTTTATA